CTGAAAAGATTGTTACAGTAACTGTCAAGAACAGACACTCCTTTTGAGGTGGAGCATCGGTGCCACAAGTATTGGAGACCGATGTGCCTCCAACACGCCGAACCACATGCCCGACAAGCCATGTGGTGTCCTAACTTCTATATATTTAAATTTCCAACAACTAAACGAAAGCCTCAACACACTTACAGCACATTCCTACATGCCACGTAGTGTCCTATATTTTCAATTCTAATGCAAGAAACATTACATGAACATGCTGAGGACACAAATAATCACATCTGGAGGATGGAATTACCAGAATTCTAATCCTTAATCACGTTCGTGTAGAAAATCAAAATAACGTGAGAGAAAGTGTATGAACTTCAACTCAATTTCATTTATCCACCATAGCACTTCTTGTTCCAAGAATATTTTTATTTCGTTGGCACTAGAAATACAAACAATCTGGAGTTATCAATAATCGCTCCCCAAAATCAAAAGATTGCAAACGCAAAATTCAAGAATAAAATAAAGATATGATATGCAAAAAAAAACAATAAACAGCTTGTCTCCAACCAGTCTGATCCTTTGTTTTTGAATCTGTGTATGTGTCCCCTGTTCGATTTTGTGCTCCATGTGTGATAACTATGGAAACCGCTTTCATTTATCCTAAATCGGAAAACCAGCAAATAGTAACCACTTCTTCATTTATTAATAGTTTCATGTCTAGCATATACAAGTTAAGACTGAAATGAAAAATATATATTTGTTTTTGCCTGATAAGGGAGTTTCTTGTTAACTGTTTAAATGGAACAGGTGTCAGTGTAATAATCAGATACCTCATCCTATTTGAACAAGTATATATATGGAAATTGGAATTATAGTTTCAGTTTTAGTAAATATATGCATATCATCACTTGTAAAAACTATTCCTGCATCTATTGAAATTCACAATTTTCAGGACTCATTCATGCATCGAAGGAAGAATTCTGAGCATTGGAAACCAAATTAAAGCATGAGTGAAGAAGAAAAACAAAGGGGAGGAAGTGGGTGCCGTGGTGCTGGTTGAAAAGCTTTTTTCAGAATACATTTAAGGATGGCCCAGCTCTTCAAGGGAAGAAAGAAGTTTCTGACTACTTCATAGGGGACCAAAGCCCCTTGCGTTCCCACTTGGCCACACTTTTTCCAGTTTCTAAACTACACTAAACCAGTTTTTCTTTTTAAAAATGGAATTTTACACACATATAGGTTGACACTTGACAGTGCAGCCTAATATCATAAAAAAAAAATTAACCAAAGCCATTAAACCTACTCAAGGAACACAGATACTGGTCATACTTTATTGATGAAATGGCTAGGATTGGTATTAATCCTGATACAGCAACATCACTCGATCAGATCAAACAAGAAATCAATCTAGTACGTATCAAGTGTCACAATTGAGAAATTCTGTCGTTAAGATCTTTAATATTCTATTACTTTTTACAGCATCCACCATTTTGGCAGAGTATAGACTGTACATTTACTCTTTCTTACTAAGAAACAGAAAGAAAACTAAAAGTGGAAAAAGGGATAAATCAACAAGCCTAAAAATTAATTTTGACCAATTGAAGCTTCCTGAACAGTTTCCTCTCAAGAAACAAGAGAATTTGCCAAAAAATGGACAGGAAAAGGCATTGGAAGAAATTACAGTAGATGAAAAGCAAATAATAGTATAGTACAGATGTATTCCACTTTGAATTTTAAAATCATACTATTATGCACAAGATAAAAGTAGCAAACTTTCATAATTAACAATCTATCATCAAAATACAGCATTTCTTCCTGCCTAACATATTTCCTCCGAGAACTAAGCCTAATATTTCATGATTTATTACATAATACCCCAAATCTTTTATAATCGTTAATTATGAAAATTATGACCTTAGTTTAAAAGTATGTAAGTTAGAGGACCAAATTGCACATCAACCAATAGGTGAGGGACTAAAAGTGCAATTTCCTAAACTATATATTTATGATAAGAATATTTATGGTATATGTATATTGATATATATAATTGTGGTTGATTGATTTAATTATATAATTACTATAATTACGTGCATCTATATATGTATATAATATTATTGATTATGGAAATTAAGCAAACTTCTATATTTATGAAAGATAATTTCCATATATATAAAAGATAAATAAGTAAACTATCATATATATGTGAATATATATGTGTAATAATATATAAGGGTAAAGAATACAAAATATCCCTACCTTTCAATGTTATTGTGCAAAACGTTCATACCTTTCATTTTTTAGCATTTTTACCCTTATTTCTACCTTTCATTGCACACAAGGTCATTTTCATTCATTTCTCCAATAAAAAGACAATTTTACCCCCATTCAAATAAAACAAAACAAAAAAAAAAAGAAAAAGAAAAATAAAGAGCTAATTGCAACTATAAGATCAAATTTTCAAAAAATTACAAATTAATCACAAATATATACATAAAAAAAAAGGAAGAAAAACAGCACCATATTGTAATTATGACTTTTTTTTTTAAGTATATATTTGTGACTGATTTGTAATTTTTTGAAAATTTGGGATTATAGTTGCAATTAACTCTTTATTTTTCTACTCTTTTCTTTTTGTTTTATGTGAATTAGGGGGTAATCGTCTTTTTATTGGAAAAATGGATGAAAATGACTTTTTGCGCAATGAAATGTGGAAATAGAGGTAAAAATGCCAAAAAATGAAAGGTAGGGACGTTTTGCACAATAACATTGAAAAATAGGGATATTTTGTGCTATTTACCCTTATATATAATTATGACTAATTGATTTAAATCATGTGATTACTATAATTACTTGCATCTATATTTGTATAATTATATAATTATGGGCCTATGGCCGATTGATTTCAAATATAGTATTACTACAATTACGTGCATCTATGTATGAGTGATTTAAATTATAGTGTTATTATAATTACGTACGTCCATATATGTATGATTATATATAATTATGGCTTATTGATTTTAAATTATAGGATGACTACAACTGCGTACGCCTATATATGTATAACTATATATAATTACGATTGATTAATTGATTTAAATTATAGTATGAACAATCACGTGCGTCTATATATGTGTAATTGTATATAATTACGTATATGTGTGTGCGTAACTATGATTGTCCCACACTACACACATAATTCATAAACGATTGTTTAAGGTCCAAGTTCTTTCGAACCCATTTTATCAAATCCTCTTCAGATTTACGAGATAAGTGTAGTCATACATTGTATGTTAAATTGTTTTCCATCCTTTAAATACAAAATTTCAAGTTATGAATATGATATGAGTCCTAAATGTTTAAGTTCAAAGAGCCAGAGTTTAATAGCGTTACGTACGAGAATTATAGCAACGAAGTACGATTCTTAACTCCCATATCTCCCTATGTATGTTATGATTATGTACCACCTAAGTTCGGTTTCTAATCCTGTGTTTCCTAATATACGTTACGAATTCCTCAATTCTAAATATAAATTACGATTTCTGTGGCTTACTTAGGATTTTATCTCATTGTCTATGATTTTCCCCCGTCTAAGTAATTGATGTTCGAGACTTAAAGTTTGGAACAGGTATCTAGTGATATAATAAAGAGAAAAATGATTATGATTTTCGAGTAATAATTTAATGTTTATGATTAAGTATTTGTTTTTAATTGTTATTATTGTAAGTTTAAGAACAATTATCTTTTATGAAAGATTTATTTTACGACACGTTTTAATGATCCAAAGGAAAAAATGGCTCGTTACATATAATCTCTTATAAAACTCAAATGTGAATAGCATGGTTAGAGGCCAGCATTGATGGCACAAATATACCTAAACTTTAAATCATCGTCTATATGGTGACCAAAAATAATGGGCACTCCACCTATCCATTCCATACCAGGTCGAATGGACAGCATTCTCAAGGTTTTCTCATTCTTATCTCCAAAAGAAAAGGTACTTTATCTTTCGAAAACATAAAGAGAATTTTTGGTGCTCATCAGTAAATGTCCAATCTTTTCTTCCTTACATTTGGTACCAGGATAAATTTCAAGACTCGAATGTCTAAAAATGATGATACACCATCTATATGTTGTTTATCAAAAGGATATTTTGTGATTAAATTAACCATAAAGGGAGTGTCCTGGAATTGTCAAATTCTATAATCCCTTTTCTCTTTCTACAGTTTTCTTTGTTCAAACAAATGGTATTTATAAAGTTTCACAGTTACCAAAGGTTCTCTACACTAGCAACACAACTCATTCATAGCCTAAGCTTCGACCTTGTTCACTTTGTCCCCACTGAATCTATTTCCAAAAACCATAATCATATACTTCTATGAGTCAGATTTTTTCTGAACTTCAGAGGAAGAAGAAAAACTCAGCAGAGGGGCATTCTCTAGTTACAATTAATTGACTAACGAATTGCGGCTTTTATCAAGAAAATTTTAAAAAGAGCCTTTTTCATTTACCCACTATTTTGCTCCTTTGATAACTTCTTCCATTTTCTTCTGATATAAACTACTCAAATGACAACCTACAGCTGAAGAAGTTGCAAGCAAAAATCTATAACTACAGATGAGACAACAAAATTAAAGATAAGAAAATAAAAAACAACTTGTCATCACATTAACAGGAAATAGAGGTTATAAAAAAGTTGACTAGAATTTCATGAACATATAATAAAAATAAAATATACTGACCTTTCAAAGAGCTTCTCAATAGTCTGAAATTGCTTTTCTGACGAAAGAAGTGTTTCCCTTACATTAATCAGACTACTGACATAGGTTTTTAGAGATTCGAAGTCTTGCTTAACGCGACAGAGTTCCTGTTCATTTTCTGCAGCTTTTTCCTTTTGTCTAGACGTTTCTATAACCAAATCTTCAACCCTCTGTCGCATTTCATTCAGAATACAATTAGTGCCCAGTGCCAACTGCTCCATCTCTTGTAATTTCAAAGACATATTTTCAATTTGGAGGGTCTTTCTTTTAATTTCTTCCTGCCCCACGGTTACCTTCTCCTTCTCAATCGCAGTTTCAGACTCCGCCACTATTACCCTCTTGACAAGGCTTTCCATCACATCTCCAACCATATGTACACTTCTGAATAATTCATTTATATAAACTACATCATCTTCATCGAGTGAACCATGATGACTGCCAAGTGCAGTCCACGTTTCCCCATCCGGACTGTCAAAGGAAGACGGATCTATATTTCTAGATGAGACAGACAACGGTACACCATTTTCATCGACAAGGCCTGTTCCATCTAGTTGTTTGATACCACAAACAATATGAGCCATATGGGGAATGGCCATGATTCTTGCTTTCGATTTCAAGTATGTCAATAATGTTGCAGCAGTTTTAACTCTACGCCAGAGGACACCTAATTCATTCTTTGCATCTTTCTCTTGCAAGGCATCCACACAGGACTGACTTCTCTCCATCTCCTGCTTCCAATCAATGTGGACTTGGATTAATTGCGACTTCAATGCTGACAAAACAACATATTCCTCTGTGTCCATAAAATTTTTGAAGTAATGCATAGAAAATTAGGAAGTTCAAAGATATATTACGAAATAAATCAGACTTTTTAATGGGTGAAAACCATGCAATGGTATTAAGTATTAACAAGCATTTCAAATTTTCAATTAACAGATTAATATGATATCTTCATAGTCCCTTCATATTCAGAAACTGGTCATTCTCTGGTAATTAAGAGGTAAATTGTCTGGGTAATTTGATGAGAGGGTAAAGGTTCATTCTAATATGTAACAGGTCCGATAATAAACAATTACACACATTTCAGTGAAATAGTTGTAGGCTTCAAAAAGTCTAAGTTGTAGGCTTTTGATCTTTCACAAAAAGCTTTATAAAGATTGGTAACCTAGTGATAAAATGAATACAATAGACTTACGCATCATCATAATCATAGCAGCATAGATACTTATATAAACTCTTTGAAATTCACAATGAGAATGGACAAAGCTTGGGTTGGGGTGTCTAGTAGCAACATGTTTTGACTTAAAGGTCATAATTAATCCAAAAATATATAAGAGACTTCATCAGTTCATATGGGTAGTATAGATTACACTTAAACCTCAAATGTCACAAAAGTTAAATGGACAAATTGAGGCATGTTTGGTACATTGTTCTGACACAATTGGACACTACAACTGGCAAAATTATAGCTTTTGTTTCCGCTTAATTCCATCAAATGATGCATACATTACCATACAAGCTGTGAACGTTTTTCACTCCCAGTGCAGATCTTGATGCATGAAACTTCTTTCAAAAAATTCAAATTTACTTCTAGTTTTCTAAATTGTCCTTTGTGTAAAATCCCAATTTTGAGCCACAACATCAAGGTTCAAACACAACCAAGTGTTTAAAATGAACAAGAGGGTATTTTTCCCCAGAAAGAAAATTAGATTATCACGTCAACTAGCTACCAAAAGTAATATACATGACGTCACAAAATTACAGGACAAGGATGCACAAATGGCAGAACCCAAGAACAGAGAGAAAATACTTCAGAAAATATCCAAAAACCCTAAACTTAGTTGTTAGACAAATCAACGAACATAAAATCCAAACAAGAATATATTTTACACAGTTTTCAATGTTAAAGATACAAGTTCCATAAACCCATAAAGAAAGATTCTATATTTAGTCAAGAAGAAAACAACATATATACAAACATCAAAATCCATGAAAGTGAAAATACAACATTTCATGAAACATGACAAGAGAGCACGATCACAACTACGGAAATTAAAAATAATAACAATCCAAACACAAAGGGCAGACAATTGTTAGGTTTCACACAAAGTGATAAATTATCGCAGATCCATAAATGTTAATTGAAAAGCAAATGAAGATATCAACACGAGTGACTCCGTTAATAGTTAATACGGTACAAGAAAGAGAAGAGGGAACCTTTTGATTTCCGAAGAATTGTGAGCTCCCAATTATTCACCCTTGGAGGAATATGGAGAGAGGAATATGACGAGAAAGATGACGATGGCGCTTCTATTTTCTTTACTTTACTCTTTTCTCTTGCAATAAAAATAAAACCCTCCATTTTTACTAAAAAAATACATTTTTAAATAGTGTAATAATGTGAAATGTGTAATTAAAAATAAGGAAAAATTTTAGATTTTTGTGTAATATTATTTTATTAAAAAATGTGTGATTAAAATGATGTGAAAATACTGTTTAAAAATGTATTTTTTTTAAAAAGGCTCAAACAAGGGCTAATTTTGTATATTTTATTTGTTGTTTAGTTAATTTTAATTTTAGACAAAATAAATTGTTTTGATGCAAAGGAAGTTAGCTTTTTATAATTTGATTTTATCTTCATCATATTTTGGTGGAAATTTGATTTATCATCTACAAAAATGAATAAATACAATCTAAATTATTTATTACAAAAAGAAATTTAAGCTTTAATTTATTATTTTTTTTTAGTGGAGGGGAGAAATAACTTTTAAACAATATACCATCCCACACTTATCATGTGCCTTTCGTGTTACAATTTATCATCTATTTATACTTTTTCCCATTCTGAGGGACATCGTGTTAATAAATCTCTATTTTGCAAAATTTATAAATTATATATAAATGGTAAAACTTAATTTTTTTTACAACACGTTTCAATGAATCTACAAATATCATCTACTTATTTACCTCTCTCTCTCTCTCTCTCTCTATATATATATATATAACTTCTTATAAAAAGGGGAAGGAGATGGAACTGTTGATTGAACAGTAAATGAATCCCATGTAACCGTACAAAATGCAAAATGACCTTTTTTTTTTGTCTTCTTATTTCCACCATGCATTACTCATCTTCACGCAACATTCTGGCTTCCTCCATTTCTCAAAACAACATCCGATACTTATTTCCTTCATTCTCTACAACCACGACCATACAATTTCTCCTTCTATTCATTTCTTCTTCTCTTTTTTCTATTTCCTTTTCCTTTAATTTCGTTTTCTCGGTGGTTGACATTTTAGAAATTCTAACCATCTATTTTTGTTTTCTTTTACAGAGGCTTTTAATCATAGAACAATCAAAAGAATTTTTGAAACAAGGATTTTTGGTAAGTAAATATAATTTTTTACTATGAATTGAATATATGTTGATTTGATTTTACTATATGATTCTAGGTTGATTTTGTTAGAGAGTATTATCTCGAAAGATTAAGAATTTTATTTAGTTTTACGAGACAAGCAAAAGATGAAGCAGTTCTAATCGATCGCTTGGGTTGGAAAAAAGCCCATGTCTTCGGCCATTGAAGTTGGTAAGTTCGGATTTTGAATTTTTAATGATTTTGATTTTTTTTTAATTTCTATTGTTGAAAAGTAAATAGTAGTTTTAGCTCATTGTTATCTCCTCAATGTGGTTAGTCAAATAGGTGAAAAGAATATGGTAAACTAAAAAAATAAATAACCAAATAGTTTGATAGTTTGAAGTTAAAGAAAACTATAGAGAATAAAAAAAGAAGAAGAATAAATCAAAACAAAAGAAAAAAAGAAGGCAATTGAAATCACTTGCTGGGGACTCATGCGGGAAGCTTCTTTCTACAAGGTAGATTGTCAATTTTCACTCTGTTTCATTACTTACATGGTGGAAGTTTGTCATTCTTTGGGGTCATGCATTGTAATTTCGGGAGAATTTTCTTCTTGTTCATAGAAGGAGGAGAGGAATCACTTCTCAAAACAATTGATTTTGATTTATCCATATTTTTGAAGCTACTTTCCAATGTTTTTTGTGATTATAGTTAAGATTTTTTCATTGAAAAAACAAACCATCTCTCCTAACTATATGGAGAGATTTTTTTATTTTTTTAATTAGTATCATTACTTGATAAGTGTGCATTTATCTTCTTTTCTTTGATCATTTTTTATATACAGTTATGTTTACTTTGCTTATATGGAATGCTTTAAAAAATAATTATTATTAATTATTATTAAGTTAATAAAAAATAAACAAAAAAAGTATACAAACCAAAATTTTCAAAAAATTAGTAACAAAAATGTAAACAAAATGCATTTACCTATTTTTAGTTTCGTTTGATTAATTGATTTACTAATTTAATAATTTAAATGAACAAAAAAAAATTAAAAATGTTGTACAGAGTGTGCGGAGTCTCCATACAATTTGTGTACAGAGACTCCGCACTGTGCGGAGTTGACACTTGTGTGGAGTTTCCGCACAATTTGTGCAAAGATTTCGTATTGTTCGGAGTCTTCGCACAATTTGTGCAAAACACAAAAATGTGCGGACTTCGCACAATTTGTGCTGAGACTGATAGGGTATTAGTAAATACTTTTTGTATGATAGCTATAAAGTTAACAATATTTTTTGGAAATTAATTATTGACTTGTGAAATTTTCAGAACTACTACTGCAATCTTCTTTACTTTATACAATGCATAGAATATCTCTAATAATCTTAAATGTATATCATATAATTGTGGTTAATAAAAAACGTAAAATAAAGTAAGTCTAGAGAATTTTGATGCTTCCACACTGTGCGGAGTTCGCACTTGTGCAGAGACTCCACACTATGCGGAGTCTCCACACAAGTGTGCGGAGCCTCCACACAATTTGTGAAGAGACTTCACACTGTGCGAAATTTGCACTTGTGCGGAGACTCCACACAAATGGCACAATTTGTGCAGACTCTCTTAATTTTTATTTTTTTGTTGAATAATGCAACTAATATTTGTTTACTTTGTTATTTTATTAGTTAAAAATATGCATTAAATTTAATAAAAAAAAATATATAACTACAAGAACTTCAATATAATAAAAAAAAAAAACTACCAAACATTAAAAAGGAAAGAATCATTGCTAAACAATAAAAGCATCTAAATATAATGGAAAAGACAAAAAATAAAAAAGTAAAACCTGTGAAGAGAGAAAGGAACAACAAAAGGAAATTGTCAAAAATTAACAACAATTATTGATCAAATGTGAAATTATTGATTGCACTATACATACCAATAACTAAAATGTAAAACTTTTGAAGTTAGTTTTTTCCAAAAACACTCACGTGATTTACGATTTCATCTAATTCTTCACCAAATTAATAGGTGAAGAGTATAGATTTATTGTTTGGTGTTGAAATTTTTTTAAATATTCATAATAAATTTTCTTGTCACACTAATAAAATTATAATAATAATATTTTATTTTATTTTTACTTTTTACAAATAGTATCAAAAAGTAAAATCAATTTCATTTTCAACAAAAAAACACATTTAAAAACTCAATTTCATAACCAGACTTCTTTTTTCTTTTTTATTCTCGAAATACAAAATTGTAAGTTTTCTTTTACTCATGTTTCCACAATTTTAAATTCCCCTTTTCACTAATTTTTATTTTACTTTTTTAGTATGTACCAAGATTCAGTGAGAACATCTACCCAATTTTATAATCCACGGCTCTTCATAATACGTCTTTGAGCGTTTGACCTGGTATAACGAACTCCCAATGTTGATGGTACACAACGTATGCGATAATGCTTTTCTATAATTTACTGTTATTCTGTAATAAACTGTGTGCTCTATCTTCAATTTTCCAATGCAAGTATTTTCAACTTATTTGGAGTTACACAAGATTTTTAGGTTCAACTCAATCATATCAATACTGTCAAACATCGAATGTCAACAATACAAGCAAAATAGTTTGTATAACCTCATATATTTCTTATTCAACAAAATACTGTTATGCAATTGTAAAAATAATTTGCAATTATTTTCTTAGATCATGGAAACACTTCTAGATATTATTTCAAAAGCATTTTAAAAAACTAAAATTCATACTCTAATAAAAATGCGATAAATATAAAATTCGTGCAACGCACGTAACAGCAACTAGTATATATAATAAAGCGTTTGTAAATTCTTCTCCAACGGAGGCTTATGTATACATAGTATATGTAATTAATTTAAATTTTAAATAATTTTCTTTAACAAATTTTAGGTTTAATTTTTAACTAGAATGCGTATTCAGAATTATGTATGCATAAAGTTTTTAAGTAATAATTTATTATCAAATGAAACAATAAAACACAGCTAATTGAAGAAAATTTCACATCTTTCCTCACAAGGGCGTTTTAGATATATCAACCTCATTTTAGATAATTTATGATTTGAAAAGGGGCCAGGAGCATGAATAATACTCATAGCTTTTATATAGGAGGTTAATGAGTAAGTGTCTCTAATATTGTCATAAACTTTATGAGGAGTTTATAATATTGTCTCAAATTCATAATATACTGATTCATGTCATGATGCATTTTTTTTATGTCTCACTATGAATTGGATCTTAAGACGAGTTTCAATTGGGAAGTGTTTATGAACAATTTTAATTAAGTGAAAAAATTGATTAAACCCCTATTTGGTAGATTAAAATCGAATTTTTATTAAATTTTAATAAAAGTTGATCAAATATGTTATTAAAAAGTTGTGAATTCCATAAAATTCGTGGTTAAAATTAATTGTTGACATTCGTTTAATTTATAATCTAGAGTTATTTGTTCTCATGATCACTGAACTTAGATTTATATTTTCGATTGCTCCCTGAATTTTAAAGTGTTGAATTTTGGTCACTAAACTTAGATTCATTCACGTCTTCAATTGCTCACTAAATTTAAAATGATGAGTTTTGACTACTAAACTTTGAAAAATATTATGCGTTGCTCATTAGCATAACTTTTATATCAAACCTCTAATGGAATTTGTGACGTAACTGATGGAATGCACACGTGGTGCACCATCACACCGTTAAAGTTTGAGATGGTCGAATTTTAACTACTAAATTCTGAAAAATATCTTCTATTGTTCATTGAACTTTGAGGTGATCGAAATTTAGCCACTACACTTTGAAAAACATCGAATTTTGGCTACTAAATTTTGAAAATTTTCTTCTATTACTCATTATAAATTTGGATTCAACCACACATTTATATAATAAAATATTTTATATGTAAATTAAAAAAATTTCTAACTTTTTAATCACGCATTCTAAAAATAAAATAAAATCACTATTTAAAAACCGATAATCTTAAACTTTAGTAGCTAAAATTCATTCTTCTTAAAGTTCAGTAATAAAAAATTGACCACCTCAATGTTCGATGAGTATGGTCGAGTGTTAGCCACAAAACTTTAAAAAACGTCTTCTATGACTTACAATAAATTTGGATTTGATTAAAATTCGTTGTTAAAATTTAAAGTTAATTTTATTTAACAATAAACAAATGTATTGTGTGTTTCGTTGTAAAATTCAATTATTATGATGAAAATAGCCCTAAATTCTAATAATAATAATTTAATTTTAACTACTGTGTAATTGAGTAATCATTCATAGTTGTATAGACAATGCTTGCAAAGCTATGCAAAAGAAGTAACTACTAATTGCAATGAAATACAATATATTTATCGTAAAAATCAAATTAAATCTAATTTTTTTTAACAATGAATTTTAGCCCCTGTTTGATGATCAGGGAGAATATTTTGGTTAAAAAATTGGAATTTTTTTTTTGAATTTATGTATAAAATATTCCATTGTATAAATGTGTGGTTAAATTTAAATTTATAGTGAATAATAGAAGACGTTTTTCAAAGTTTAGTGGCCGAAGTTTTCGACATTTTTCAAAGTCCAATGGCCAAAATTCGACCATCTTAAAGTTTAATGGTGTGACGAAGCGTCACGTGTGCATTCCGTCAGTCATATCATCAATTCCATCAGAGGTTTGAGATTGAAGTATGCTAGTGAGTAATGTATAATATTTTCCCAAAGTTCAGTGCAAAAAACTCGACATTTTAAATTTTAGTGAGTAATCGAAAATATAAACCCAAGTTCAGTGACTAAAACTCGACATTTTAAATTCCAGCGAACAATCTAAGACATGGACCTAAATTTAGTATTCATTGGAACAATTAACTCTATAACCTAGATTTTAATTCCTATGGAAGAACTTCTAAATAGATTTAGGTGTCGTCCATGGATATGTTAAATTTAAGTGAATTTGTGCTATACGTTTTTTTTAAAAGGTAAACTCGAATTCCCCATGATTCTTGAACATCCATCTATTAATACAAATCTAAAAATTGCAATTGAATGCTCATAAAGTAGTTGATTGTATTGTTCTTTAAAATATGATAATGATGTCATTTTTTATTCTTTTTAGCCTGTCTAACCCATCTAGTGAACATTTATTCCTAACAATCCATTTAATCCTATATATTTTACACATAAATAAGCCTCTGATTTTTCTTTGTTATGCAATAATCATATCCTAAACTGTGATTTATATATTAAAAAAAAAAAAAAAAAGCTAATGATTGAGAAGTCTAAAATCAATGCTGGCATTATGCTAACATTTTTTTATATTCCTAAGCTTAGGGTATTACTCTCATGTCTTGATATGAGTGTGAGATAATATTCTTATTTAATGGTCACAGAAGATAGTTTACTTTCTTTTGAGTGTGTCATTCTATCATATCACATGATATTTAGCGTCTATTGATAGTTAGAACCTTAAAATTGGTAATATGGTGATTGTGTTTAAATGTTTATAAATTCATGGGGATTTGAATTCCCGGGATAAGATACTACGCATGGAAGTTAATAAATTGATTAACAATAAGCATAAAATTGATTTTTCTTGAGTCAACACCCAAGCAGTTAATGGTGGATGGTAATTGAATAATTTGGTTGATAATGTCTTTGCTCGATCAAACCCAACCCTGCCAATAATTCGCTGGAATCTTCCCTTTTCCTTGTGTAGATATAATCATAGAAAAGAAAAATATTTCTTAATAGATACTTATTTCCGTGGGATTGTAGTTCAATTCGGTCAGATAATTGAACTTCCTCTTTTGTGTCCACAAACAAATGATAGAGACAATACTCTTTAGAGTAGTGAGCTTTAATTTCAAAGACAGACTCATACCAATCCCACAAAGCTGCCCATGTTGCTAGGTATAGCATTTCAATGCTTCTACAATGTACAATTCTACGTACACTAGACAGTGTTGGATCCAAAAATCTTGAGCACGAGCGGATCCAGGTTAGCACGGCGGCCGCAAGGGCTTGTCGGGTGCTGGTTCGGCCCGTGACACGAATGGTGTGCACACGAGTTTATGTGAAAGATTGAGCTACCGATGAAGTGGTAATGAGTCCCGAAAGGAGACCAACAATTAAAGCACTGTTGTAAGTCGTCGGTTCACCTTGCTGAGAGTTGTTCCGGGAGTCTGAATAGGTATCATTTAGGAATGGTCCACCTACAAGTGCTCCAATTGCCAAATTTGGATTAGGGTCTGTCGAATTAAGCCATTTAAACCCATCGGAGCAGCCTGTGTTTGCATATCTCGGGATTGAGGCGCCTCTGTGATGTACATATTGTGGGTAGTTGCTTCCATAACCAACAAGGTAGCTCATCTTCATCGGATTGCTTCCTAAAATGTAATCTGCCTAAAGACAATTGCAATAAGGTCAAAAGAAACTCAACATGATCGACTTTTGTTGTAACATATAAACGTTCTCGAAAATATTGAATTGTGTAGAGCCTAATAATATTGTTCACTTACCTATTAACTTCGGATGAGCATTCAAAGCCTAGAGGTACATTGAGCATACATATTTTTTTTCAGGTTACCCTAATATTCGATGTGATGAAGGATATCAGGGTGTTAAAGAAAGATACACGGATTGAGAGAGGCGTGAGATATCCATTGTTAACTTCTTGTTCTTGATTTTTGGATGTAACTCTCATGTTACTATAAATTAGTTGTCCTCTGCGTTTCCTTTTCTAATTCTTCATGTTTGTTAATGCTCACGGAATTGGGGATTAAGGTTAAATCCATAACAGAAGACTAACTAAAATGCTTGGGACCCTGGCCCCCTTCCCCGAACCAACACCACCTGAGGCATAAAAGTCTGTCAGGATAATAAAATACCTGTGAAAGAGCAAACTTGCGAAGGTCATTTGGCTGGTAAAGCTCTCCATTACAGTACAGGGTTTTTGTCTGTGAGGTTTGCATGTAATCACTATAAACGAGTGATAGAAATGCAGAGGCAACAGAATATTGCAGTGCATTCCACTCTGACACCCATATAAGGCCACCTGCATCAGAATAATGAACGAGTTGAATTTGCTCTCAAATAATGACAGGTCTACTAATTATATACTGCACAAAGAGAGCGCATAAATTTGTCTACTCCGAGCTTGTGAAATCCGCTGGAAAGGTTCTCCAGGCAACATTCAAACTCAGAATTACATAATTCGAAGCCTTTCCCAAAAGATGGATAATATATATATATATTTTTTTGGGGCTAGAATCAAAGCATCAAGGTATGGGAAAAAAAAATAGGCCTTTGGAACTATCTTTGTATACAAGATATTTAAGATAAGTTTCTTCATCATTGAATAGTTAAGATCAGGATACGGAATGGTTAGGTCATATATAGCTATTACTAGTCAAAATGAAATTTGGTGCATCCATTAAGTTTTCAACAAATGGAATATTAACATTTGAAAATTTATTTCATTTCAAAAGCTTAGAAAAATGATTCGATCCCTGTAGCATCTTTCTTTTAATAATTGAAGTGACATCAACGATTTTAATTTAAAGTACTACCTTTTACAGTAAATCCTACACCATATGAAGAAAGAAAAGGTGAATTTAGTTAACTTTTGAGACTTCATAGTGTTCTAGGACAGGCAGCAGCAGTGACAATGAAGCCATTTTAGTAATTTCTTCACAACCGCAAGCTTTCGAAGCTGGCCAGAACCATTAAAGCTAGGAAGTGAATTGGAAAGAAAGTATAGATAAATTGTATAATACTTTCTCACCCTAATTACAATCTTTGAGCCTCAGTATATAGCATAGGAAAGGTGACGAACAAGGTAACTTCCTATACATGGAAAAGAGAAAAAACTTACCTAATCTAAATAAGGTTATACAATAATATAATCAAATCCTAATTATCCCCTAATCTCAGAATATCTACACTCCCCCTCAAGTTGGATCATAAATGTTGATCAAATCCAACTTACAAATAAATTCCTCAAAATTCCGTCGTAGCAATCCTTTGGTGAAGATATCTGCAATTTGTTTTCCTGTAGGCACATAAATCATGCATACGGTCCCTTCTTCAACCTTCTCTTTGATAAAGTGTCTATCCACTTCCACATGTTTGGTTCTATCATGTTGAACTGGATTGAGGGAGATGTTAATCGCTGCTTTGTTGTCACAATACAGTTTTATTGGAAGTGTCACCATTGTCTGTAATTCTTCCAATAACTTTTTTATCCACAGTCCTTCGCATATTCCTTGTGCGACAGCTCTAAATTCGGCTTTAGCACTGCTTCTGGCTACCACACTTTGCTTCTTACTTCTCCAAGTTACCAAATTTCCCATACAAAGGTACAGTAGCCTGTAGTTGATCTTCTATCTTCTATTGAACCAGCCCAATCTGCATCAGTAAAGATTTCTACCTCTTTCTTTTCATTTTTCTTAAAGAAAAGTCCTTTTCCAGGAGTACCTTTAAGATATCTGAGAATTTTGTATACTGCTTCTAGATGAACTTCCTTTGGAGAGTGCATATGTTGGCTAACCACACTAACCGCAAATACAATATCAGGTCTAGTGTGTGAGAGATAGATCAATTTGCCAACTAATCGTTGGTATCTGTCCTTTTCAATTGATTCTCCAATGTTTTCTTCCTTTCTTCTGGCCTGTATTGGTGTGTCACTTGGTTTGCAACCAAGCATGCCAGTTTCCGTTAGAAGATCAAGAATGTACTTTCGTTGTGAAACACTGATGCCTTTCTTTGATTTGGCAACCTCCATTCCCAAAAAGTACCTCATCTGTCCCAAGTCTTTCACTTCGAACTCCGTGGCTAGGCTCTTCTTAAGACTTTCTATTTCCACTATATTATCTCCAGTTAATATGATGTCATCAACATAAACAATTAAGATTGTTTTCATCCCTGTTTTAGATAATTGGTAGAACATTGTATGGTTTGATTGCCCTTGTTGATATCCTTGACTTCTCAATACTTTTGCGAATCTGTCGAACCATGCTCTTGGTGATTGTTTGAGACCGTACAAGGATTTTTTGAGTTTACATACCTTACTTTCTTCCTCGCTTTCATAGAAGCCTGTGGTTAATGTCGTAAAAACCTCTTCTTCTAATTCTCCATTCAAGAAGGTATTCTTGATGTCTAACTATTGAAGAGGCCAATCCAAATTTGCTGCTAAAGATAAGATAACTCGGATTGTATTCAATTTTGCTACAAGGGCGAATGTTTCTGTGTAGTCAATGCCGTAGGTCTGTGTATATCCTTTTGCAACAAGACGAGTCTTGTACCGTTCTATTGTCCCATCCGATTTGTACTTCACATTAAAGACCCATTTGCACCCGACGGGTCTTTTCTCCCTTGGTAAGTTTACCACATCCCAAGTTTTGTTTTTTTCCAGTGCTCGCATTTCTTCCAAAATTGCTTCTTTCCATTTGGGAATAGCCATGGCCTCCTAAATGTTCTTTGGAATTTCTGTATTATCAAGATTATAAGAGAAAGTGCGAAATCCTGCAGATAGAGTGTTATATGAAACAAATTTTGAGATAGGGTGGAGAGTACATGACCGAGGTTGTTTTCTGAGAACAATAGGTAGATCACTTTCTGGAGCTATCATCGGTTCGAACTCTTTTGGTGCTTCAGATGTGAGGTTCTCCTTATACATTGATTTCGACTTTCTTGAGTAAACTAATATCTCCTTGCTAACTTGTTTTTCAGCATCTCCCATTGAGTTTAAGTTTATTTTTGTAGATGGCATGTTAGGACTAGGACCAGGAAGAGTAATTGATTCGGATTCGGTGTTTATGATAGGTTCACTCGGGTAAAGATTAAAGTTGAAGAGTCGATCTTGATTTGAGAGCCGATCTTCACTTAGATTCTCCCCCTGAAGATAGGGTTTTTATAGTAAGGAGTTCTTTCGAAAAAGGTGACATCGATGCTAACAAACACTCATTTTGTGGATGGATCTAAGCATTTGTAGCCCTTTTGGGTAGACGAATATCCAATGAGCACACATTTAAGTGCACGAGGATCTAGTTTACTTCGGTGGTGAGGGTGTATGTGGACGAAAGCAGTACAACCGAATATGCGGAGTGGTAAACTTGAATCAAGTCGAGAATCGGGGAAGAATTCCTGAAATACTTGGAGTGGTGATTTGAAGGAGAGAATGCGACTGGGCATTCTATTGATGAGATAGGCTGAGGTTAAAATGGCATCTCCCCAAAAAAATTTTGGCATATTGGTGGTGAAATTAAGGCACGAGCTACCTCAAGGAGGTGTTTATTTTTCCGCTCAGCGATGCCATTTTGTTGTGGAGTATCGACATAGGAACTTTGATGAATTATTTGTTTTTGGAGATACTCTTTCAAGGTAGTATTGAAATATTCTGTACTATTGTTAGTACGCAATATTTGAATTTGTGTCTGAAATTGAGTTTGAATCATTGAATGGAAATTTATGAATATGGATCTAACGTCTAACTTTTCTTTTAGGAGATAAACCTAACATATTCTAGTATGATCATCTATAAATGTTACGAACCATTTTTTGTGTGTTCGATTTGGAATTCGTGAAGGACCCCATAAATCACTGTGAATTAAGGTGAATGGTTTCGAAGATTTGTTTGTAGATTTTGGAAAGAAGGTACGATGATATTTTGCTAGTTCACATTGAATATCAAATGTCTTTTTATTAGAAAACATGGAAGGAAATACACGACGTAAATACTGAAAATTGGGATGACCCATTCTAAAATGCCATAACAAAAGCTCACTATCTCTAGGAACAAAAGTAGAATCACAATTTGCAATTTGATTATTCTAACTCACGTCTGCTTCCTCAAAGTAGTAAAGTCCCCCACATTCTTTAGCACTGCCAATCGTCTTCCCCGATGATAGGTCCTGAAAAATGCAATAAGATGGGAGAAACTTAGCTGAGCAATTGGAGTTTTTCGTTAATTGGCTAACTGACAATAAGTTACAAGATAGGTTTGGAACGCGGAGAACGGACTCTAATGTTATAAAATTAAAGATTCGAATACTCCCTTTTCCTGCTAAAGGTGAGAGTGAGCCGTCTGCGATTTTAACTTTGATATTGCCACCAGAAGTGGAATATTTGGAAAAAAGGTGGAAGAAGCCTGTCATATGATCGAATGCACTTGAGTCAATAATCTAAGGAATTGTGGATTGAGTAGTTGTATGTAGTGCTTTCGAAGAATTACCTTTGTGAGCTAGTGAACTTGATGGACCCGATGATTGGAGACTTGAAAACATTTTATATAGTTGCTCCATTTGTTCAGGATTGAATGCACCGCCCTGAGTAGAGGTATTCTTTTCTTCGATAGGATCAACAACCTCTTGGTAACCCCGATTCCTGTTATTTTGTCTTGGTTTCCAGTCAGCTGGTTTTCCATGTAGTTCCCAACATGTATTTGCTTTATGACCCGGTTTACGACAGTGATCACACCAAGGACGTCCCCTCTGTTGTTTTGGGCCGAACCCATTAGTGGGTGTCCCTTTGGAAATTAGGCCCAATTCCATAGATCCAAGTCCTTTAGCTCCATTTAATGCTGGCCCTCCAGGTAAGTGGGCTGAACTAAACCCTTTAGTTAATTGGGTCGACCCATTTAATGTTGACCCACGTTCTGTTGAATTAAGCCGTTTAGTTAATTGGGTCGACCCACCAAACCCACGCTCCATTGAAAATAACACAGACCCAATTTCCTCTTCAAGCCCGGCGGTCTTCCCTTTTCCAAGCATTACTCCTCGTCGATTTTCTTCTCTGCGAACCTCAGCGAAGGTTTCGTGAAGTGACGGTAGGGGTCGCCGGCCAAGGATTCTTCCTCTCACGTCATCTAATTCTTTATTAAGCTCGGCCAGGAACTCGTATACCCTTTCGTTTTCAATCTTCTTTCTGTACCGTACACTGTTGGCCGAACAGTCCCATTCTTCGTCAACATTGTGATCGAGTTCCTGCCAGAGTGAAGACATCTCCAGGTAGTAGTCTGTCACGTCTCTCTCCCTTTGCTTCGTCTGCCAAAGTTTTGTTTTGATCTCAAAAATCTGTGAAGAATTTTCTGCGTTTGAGTACATGTCGCGAACGGCATCCCGCACATCTTTTGCTATCGGTAGAAATAAGTAAGTCTTTCCAATCGGAGATTTCATGGAATTAACCAACCACGCAATCACCATTGAATTTTCAGACCTCCATTTTTGCAGAAGTCCGATGTCGGTTGAGGTGGGCTTTTTCCTTTCTCCGGTAAGATATCCTAGCTTTCCTTTTCCGTCGACGATGAGTTTTATTGACTGAGCCCATTCTCGATAATTTTTTCCGTTCAACTTTTCGATTGTGAGTTGAAAGGAGGAATTGTCGAGTCCACTGGAGCCCAAGGTGGAAAGGGATTCAAGTTTACTGTTTTGTGTTTCTGAAGTTGTCGACTCCTTGCTGTTGGCGGTGTTTTCTTCCATTGATTGCATGGTTAGGTAGAAACAGACCCTAGCTTTGATACCATATGAATTGGAACGAAAGTATAGATAAATTGTATAATACTCTCTCACCAAGTATAGATAAATTGTATAATACTTTCTCACCCTTATTACAATCTTTGAGCCTCAATATATAGCATAGGAAAAGTGATCAACAAGGTAACTTCCTATACATGGAAAAGAGAAAAAACTTACCTAATCTAAATAAGGTTATACAATAATACATAATCAAATCCTAATTATCCCCTAATCTCGGAATATCTACAGAAGTCTCCAATAAAATTCCAAGAAATGAAGGCAAATCTGATTAGTGTGCACATACTTGTACATGTTAACCAGGAAATACTTGAGAGAACTTCATGCATCGAGGTGGTTCACATTATTAATCAATTACATTTCTCCTAAATAAAGTAGATGATGATTTTTTTCATCGAAGAAGCTAGCTGGATTAAACATCATTATATGTTGAGATACTTCATCTATAAGATTAAATTAGAAGGATTTATTTATTTATATTCTACATAGATTTATTTATTTATATTCTACATACTATGCAGTTAACAAAGATGGATTTTAACTCTATATTATTTGTTAAATTTCCTTTGTTTCTATCAACTCACTTTTCGATGGGGGTAATTTTGCAACCATATTTGTTATCTCAAGCACTAAAATAGCGTTTTCTACAGATCTAGATTTAGCATCATGAAATTATTACCGTCTGTTCTTTGAGATGTAGGTGTTCTGGAATTTGGTAAAAGCCCACACAGAACAGCCTCAGCAGTCTTTCTATACAGCTGGAGGGCAATATTTTCTGCACCTAGGATATCTTTTGAACCAAAGAAACTTACTCTCGATAGTAAAACCTGTTGAATTAAAAACAGACAAAATTTAGCGCCTTTTTCTCCAATTAACACGCCAACTATTATGCTTTACCACGAGCTCCAGTTTTTCCAAATTATGGATTTGTATATATTTGCTCGCTGAATCTATCATACCATAAAATAGGTAGTGAGAATATATGAAGAATCTATTACTCCCTGTTCTCAGTTCTGCCCAAGAATATAGCATTACTCATAATTTAGAACTAGGACTAGATAGCTTGCTACTGAACTGTCAAACTTGACAATTCAACAAAACACTAAAAATTAACAACAGAGTACCTGTGTGCCAGCTAGTTTGTTGTCCCAGCAAAACCATGTCGGCATTCCCCAATTAGCAAATGAATTCCCATTTTTGACTGTCACATAAGTAAGATATGAGTGGTCTCCTGTAGCATGGTAAAGCCAAGCAGCCGCCCACAAGAGTTCATCACCATATCCTGTAGAGTTGTAATACTTCTGCACTCCTGGGATGCTGATACTATAAGTACCCCTGTAAGTGTCTGCAAAATTAAACAATTGCTCGGCATGCTTGAGGAGCAACTTGGAGTACGCAGAGTTCTTTTTACGGAACACCAAAGATGCAGATGCCATAGCCGCCGCAGTTTCTGCTGCAACATCTGTTCCAGGATAAGTTGTATTCACTTGTATTAGAGGTCTTCTTTCTATCATCACTTCAGGTCTTTCCCAGCATTTGTGATCCAACTCAGGGTCACCAACCTTCCATCATCACCAAGACAAATTCATGAGTTCATTAAAAGTATGAACAAATTCAATCAGACAGTTAGAGGACCACTTTAGTTGGCTTATATTCAAGAATGTGCGGCAACTTCCAAGCTTGAAGCACAAAAAAATCCGTAATCCCACCTGGAACAGATTTACGTACTTACAATGTGTGTTATACAATGAAATTGTTAGATGTGAATCAGCAGTATTATTTTTAAGAACAAAATTAGCTTTCAAGAAATGTTGACGTATATACAACCTGTTATTCTTTTGGATTTGGGTTCAACACTTACAAGGCATGATTTATATTTTACATTGAACTGTTGATGTTGGGTGAGTTGGTGAAGTACAAACCATAAAAAAAATAACTACAGTTTAAAACAAATTCAGGACTCAAATGCTTAACAAATAATGTGTTGAACATATTTTCTTAAAAAAAATTTCTAGTGTTGATAAAGCCCTCTCACTCTTATTCACTTGGAATGCCAATAAAGAAAACTTCACTTGAGCACTGAGAAACAATCTTAATGTTCCTAATAAGAACATCAAAATTTTTAAGTACTTTTCTACAACAGGAAGTTCATTAACTAGTGCATCTATTAGTTCAATCTTGAAATAGAGAAGGTATGTAGAAACCTGAATGTAGAGCACATTGCCAGATGGATGTGCATTAATGAGATAATCAGTGATCCATTTTAGAGATTCTTGGATATGATCCAGTTCCTTTGCTTGTTTCATTTGGTCTCCATACTCGAGTATGGCCCATGACAAAATTGTTGCAGTGAATGCCATGGGAAATCCAAACTTCATTAAGTCCCCAGCATCATACATTCCTTTTGTCAGATCCAAATTTTCTTCTTTTCCATCTCCCAAAGCAGAATCCCCCCTCCAGGAAATCTTATTATTCACCAACTTACCAGCTGCACAGAAGTACAAAGATGTATCCATTATTAACGTATGCAACTCCAGCAACAGTTTAATAATGTTAGCTACTTATAAGGCAAAAATAGTTCATCAAATAATCGAACAAATTCATTCAACGAATTTGTGCATCAGCAAGCTGGTCTCTTGTCTTTACAAATGGTATACATATCTCACCACTCACTATCTTGTTCCAAACAGAGTGACAATTAACTTCAATGTGTTTGGTCATCTCACGAAAGTTTGGACTAGATGTTAGATGTAAAGCAGCTTAATTATCACAGTACATAAGAATAGAAGATGAGAGATCGATTTCTTAAAGAAAGTGTTGCAACCACATTAATTCACTAGCAGTATGAGCCATTGCTCTGTACTCTGCTTCTACACTTGACCTTGTTACTACAACTTTTTTTTTTATTTTTCCAAGAAACAAGATTACCACCAAGAAAAATACAAAAACCAATATTAGATCGTCTATTTGAAGGAGATCCAACCCAATCTGCATATGTAAACCCTTTTACTCTGATATATCCATTTGGTTTATACAATAATTAAAGACCTCGAGCCTTTTTCAAATACCGAATAATGCATATCACAGTTTCCCAATGTGAAACTTGAGAAGCATCCAAGAACTGACTAATGACACTAATTGCATAGGAAATATTTGATTGTGTGATAGTAAGATAATTCAATTTTCTAACCAAACGATGATACTTTCCTAATTCTCCAAATGGTTCTCCTCCATCCTTCAATATTTTCATATTATGATCCATAGGAGTATCAACTGGAAGAGTTCTAGGAAAACCTGGCTTATCTAACATGTCAAGTACATGTTTTCTGTGAAATAAATTGATATGTGCACCAGTTTGTAGATGAAATATTGAATTATCTGTCTGACACCTCTGAAGGCCAAATTCTAAAATAACCTCAAAAAACTTCCCAAACCATGCCCTTGGTGATTGTTTAAACCAATATAAAGCATTTTCAACTTACAAACATAGTTTCAGCACTTCCTCTAAGAAAAAACTCAAATGGTTGCTCTATATAAACCTCATCGCACAAGTCACCATCAAGGAATGAATTTTTAATATCCAATTGAAATAGTGGCCAAACAAGGTTAGCAGCAATAGAAATCATAACGCGAATAGAAGAGATCTTAGCAACTGGAGAGAATGACTCATCATAATCAATAACATAGGTCAGTGTGTAACTTTTAGCAACCAATCGAGCTTTCAATTGATCAACAATCCCAAGATTGAAATATTATTAATAAAAAATGGTTGTATGGTTATCAAACCCTTAACATATATTAAAGAGTCAAAATGAAACCTAATTCGGTAGACAAATCTAAATAGAACAAGAAAACTGCAAAAATGATGAAAACACCCTTAAACTGACTCAAAATAGAAAAATGTTAAAATGGGCCCCTAAACGATGGAATTTAATCTCGAAAATTTGACCATTACGTGGGCAAAACTATAGAGAATTGAAAAACGCTTCCAGATTGTATTTGAATATCATAAATTTGACACTAGAGCTAAAAGTTATGAACGTTTTCGTAGGCCCTTCTTATTTCTCTTCTGTGAGGATATGGTTCACCTAACCCCACCCAATGTTGTGACTTGATGGTATTGATGTTGACACAATAAGGTCTTCCCACGTTTTGGCAGAGGCATGGTCTTTCCTTCCTTCCCCTTCATATGTACTCTCTACCATTTCAAAAGAAGGAGGAGCTCTCGGTTTAAGCTTAAGGTGGTGGTTCTTTGCCGGATTTTTCCCCTCTCTCTTGGAAGGTGATTTGCAAGTCATGGAGGCTGTTCCTGAGCCTGAAAAACACCCATAAATCGAAGAAGAAGCTGCTGAAACGAAGAAGAAGAAGCTGGACAGATTTCGGCCAAATGAAGGGGTTGTATTCTTCCGGTTTTATTTTCTTGTTTTTGCCTTGAATCTTGTTTGTTGATTGTTGTTTTGGTTGATTGAACTCCTAGGATCCCCAACAAACTGGTATCAGAGTTAGGAGGAGTGATATTAGTCCAAAATCGATCAAAAACCAGCAAGAAATCGCCATTACCACATTCTAACCGAATCTGAAAAACTTGATTTCCGGCCAACCTATTGACTTTCCGACGAAATGGACCATGGAACCATGACCAGCAGGAGGAGGCGCACCTTGTGGTGAGGCTCGTGACCGGCGGCGGTGCGTTGCCAGACTTCCGACGAGCTTTTTTCGGGCAGTTTACTTATTTTGACGTCCTGAACGCACTGATGTCGTTTGTTTTCTGTTTCAGATTTTACAGAAAAAGTTGGACGATTTTGCCCCTACCTTGACGTCTACGGCAATTTGGTTCAGAAACTTGGTGGTATATTTACTGTTTGTCAATAGTAGTTTGGTAAGATTATTCCAAACTCTCCGTTAGGTTATGTTTGGTATCCTTACCGGTTTATGCATGGTTATTGCTTGGTTGCTTATATGTGAATTCTGTTGATTGAATTCTTGTGATTAATTTGTAACCTGGAAGCATATTTACCTGCTTTATATACCTGTGTTTCGTGAACAGATTATTTCACTGTTGTGCTTCATTTCTAAAAATTGTTTTTTAAACTCGGTACTCAGTTTTATATTGATCATCTGGAAAAGAATTTTTCAAAACCTTTTTTGTTGTGTCCACGAGTACAGGCCACTCTTTTATAGAATCTATAATGGGTTCGAGGGTCGAATTATCGCAATTCGATGGAAAGGAGGATTACTCGATATGGAAACAGAAAATGAGGGCCATTTTGGTTCAACAGAGAGTTGCTAAAGCTCTTGATGATCCCGCTACATTTTCTGATGAGTTAAAAGCTAAAACAAATGAAATTGAAGACATGAATGAAATTGCTTATAGTTATATAATTTTGCATCTATCTGACAATATTGTGAGACAAGTTGATAGTGCTAAAACTGCTAGAGCTTTGTGGATTGCTTTAAATGCCCTGTTCTTAACTAAAACTTTACCTAACAAAATATACCTGTTGGAGAAGTTGTTTAGTTTTAAGATGGACCCGGGAAAGGATGTCGAGGGGAATTTGAGTGACTTTTGCATAATTGTTAAGAGTCTAGCTCATAATGATAAAACATTTGATGATGAAGATTTAGCTGTCATATTGCTAAACTCTTTGCCCGAATCTTACAGAGAAATGAAAAATGCCATAAAGTATGGTAGGGACACTCTCACTCAAGCTATTGTTTCTGATGCTTTAAAATCAGGAGAACTTGAATTAAAAAGAGAGAACAGAATTCATTCTCGTGAAGAGAGTTTATTTGTTAGGGAAAGATCTGAAAAGAAAGAATTCAACTTCCATAACAAGAAGGGGAGAGGAAAATCTAAAATGAGATCCAAATCTAAAGATAAAAGCGGTAAGAAATGTTATCACTGTGGAAAGTTAGGACATTTCAAGAAAGACTGCTTTGATTGGAAAAGGAAACAAAAAGACTCGAACAATTCTGATGTTGATAATGCTGCTATTGCTACTGAATTTAATAGTTTGCATGTCATGAATGTGTCTGAAGAAGAATTTGACAAAAATTGGATTCTTGACACAGGGTGCACTTTTCATATGTGCCCTGATAGGTCTTGGTTTTATAACTATAGGGAGACTGAACCTAGGAAGGTCTACATGGGAGACAATAATTCTCAAAATGTGATTGGAGTTGGTGACATAGCCATCAGGATGTACGATGGGGCCGTCACGCAACTTAGAAATGTTAGATATGTCCCAAATTTAAAGAGGAACCTCATTTTCTTAGGTTCTCTGGAAGATGAGGGATATACTTTCAAGTCTGGTAACAAGATTTTGAAAATTATGAAAGGTTCTCTTATAGTTATGAAGGGGCCCAAGAGGAATGGGCCGTACTATCTTGAGGGTAGAACTGAAATACCATTTGAATCTAGCCTTCTTGTTGTGAGTAAAGACAAAACTGAACTTTGGCATAACAGAATGGGTCACATTGGGTTTAAAGGTCTAAAATCTTTAAGTAATTAGAAATTACTTGGAAAAGATGACATTGAAACTATGGAATTCTGTGAAACTTGTGTTTTGGGTAAGTCTCATAAGGTGAGCTTTGAAGCTAGCTCTCATAGGACCAGCAGACCATTGGACTATGTCCATGCTGATCTATGGGGCCCGGAGAAGCACTCCACATTTGGTGGGAGCAAGTACTTCTTGTCCTTAGTGGATGATTACTCAAGAAAGGTTTGGATTTATCCTTTGAAGGCTAAGTCGGAAACTTTTGAAAAATTCAGAATTTGGTTGAAGTCTGTTGAGAATCAGTTAGATAAGAAACTTAAAACGTTAAGAACTGATAATGGGCTTGAATTCTGTAATAGCGAATTTGACAACTTCTGTAAGCAGAAAGGTATAACAAGACACAGAACTGTTAAATACACACCTGAACAAAATGGAGTCGCTGAAAGAATGAACAGGACCATAATGAACAAAGTTAGGTGTATGTTGATTAGCTCTGGCCTTGCGAAAGGTTTTTGGGCTGAAGCTGCAAGTACTGCAGCTTATCTGATTAATAGGTCTCCATCCAGCAGTATAGAGTTTAAGACCCCACAGGAGTTGTGGACGGGAGAGCCTCCAAATCTGGAAACTTGAGGGTGTTTGGATGTGCTGCATATGCACATCAATCTGAAGGGAAACTTGAGCCCAGGGCTGTCAAGTGTGTGATGTTANAATAAACACCAACACAGGGGCTCAATTTTTAAGTTACGTTTAATAAGCTTTAGCAGAAAATTCATTAACTATTTGCTTAATCTAATGGATTTTTTTTGTAATTTTGTAATTTTAATATTGCCGACATTTATATTATTTTGTTTTGAAAATTAATTTTTTTTTAGGGGGTCTCTATGTTATAATCATATAGAATTTATTATAATTTATAATATATGACCTATGTTTGACCCCCAATTTTTCAAAATTTTATTTTTTTGAAACTCATTTTCAACAACAAATTTTTTCATAAAATAATTTTACTTATAATTCGGAAAATTTTCTTTATTTTTTAATTATATATTTTTTCAAAAGGATAATTAGAACAAAACGTCCATACTTTTCAAGTTCATTATGAAAAACGTCCCCACTTTTCATTTTTGATATTTTTGCCCTCATTTCAACATTTCTTTGCGCTAAACGTTCTTTTTACCAATTTTTAACTTAAAATGACCAAAATACCCACCCATTTATACAAAAAAAAAAAAAAAAAAATTGCGCTTATAGGCCCAAATTTTTAGAAACTGCAAATGAATCCAAATCTCAAAAAAAAAAAAAAAAAGGTCACCTTCTTCCGCAAAAGCTCCCCTCACTCCACCACTGGCCTGAACCTCAACAACAACCACTCCACCCCACAGCCAGCACCTGCACTATAAGCACCCAAACCCAACCTCTATAGCATCGGCCCATTTGACCCCCTATTACCAGCACTAGCACTACTATAAGTACCTAAACCCAACCTCGGAAGAATTGCCCCACTTGACCCTCCACTGCCAACACCACTATAACTGCCTAAACCTAACCCCTGAAGCTAACCTCCCATCAAACCCCCCAAAGTTGCATTCCCAATCGACCCACCACCATACAAAGGATTCACAAATCCCGTCTACTGCCCTAACAATGTCAGATTTTGTGCCTGCTGAGAGGCTGCTGCCACCACCATGAGGGGCTGAATTGGCTGCAACGTGGTCTTTATTGATGCTACCCCACTACCCACCTTACTCTTTCCCTCTGTGGCCTTTTGGTAGTGCAATTGATGCCCTTCAAATACCTTGTAAGGCTCCTCTAAAACCCTTTAAATTTCGCAGGATCAAACCCAGTTGGCCCACTCTCAATTTCCCTAAATTTCTCAAAATAACCCCTCAATTGCTCTGCACTCGCATTCACTAGCACATTATAAAATCTTCTTGTTTGTTATTGGGACCTGCTGAGGCCAGCTGGCACGAGGCCACACGATTGCCAATGTTAAATTTAAGGTTTTCCAATAATTTCTTCACAGATTTCCAGGTTTTATAGGTTACAAAAGCATACCCCTTGCACTTTACGTTTGCTCGATCATTCACGATGTTCAAAACCTCCATTTCACCAAACGATTTTAAAATTGCCTGTACGGATTGCTTCGTGTTGTACCAATCGAGACTGTAAATAAAATTTTGCGATGGGAGATGTCCTTGTCGGCGGCGGTTGGGTGATGGCTGTTGAGGTTGAGGCCAGTTGTATAGTGGGGGAGCTTTTGTGGAAGAAGGTGAAGGTGAAGCTTTTATGGTCATTATAAGTTAAAAATTTGTGAAAATGATGTTCAGCGTAAATAAAGGTTGAAATGAGGGTAAAAATATCAAAAATGAAAGATGAGGATATTTTTCACAATGAACTTGAAAGGTAGGGACATTTGGTGCCAATTATTCTTTTCCAAAAAATCACTATTCCTAAATATATTTTCTTATCAAAATAGGGCTCAAACAATGGCATAATTTGAATTAATTGTTCCAATAGTAACTGAACGTAAGCCTATGTCTTTAATTGGTCATTGAAATCTAAAATGTCGAGTTTTTGTCACTGAATTTTGGTCTATATCTTCGATTGGTCATGAAAATTTAAAATGTAGAGTTTTGATCACTGAACTTTGAAAAATACCGTATGTTACTCACTAGAATAAATATTGAATTTTGAAAAATATTTAATTGGTGAGTAATGTACAACATTTTTCAAAGTTCAATGATCAAAACTCGACATTTAATACTTCAATGAGCAATCGAAAATATAAACCTAAATTCAGTGATCAAAACTCAATATTTTTAACTTCAATGACCAATTAAGGACATGATCCAAAGTTCAGTAACCATTAGAACAATTAACTCGCATAATGTTGTTTTATAAAACAACTATTCTTTTATATTACATTACCATTTCCCCATTTTTAATATTTTATCAGTAATTGCGAGAATTACAAGTTAAGCCCTTGTTTCATACGAATTAAACTTAGATTTTAATCTAAAAAAATTAATAATGAATTTTAACCACATATTTTATGGAATTCACAATATTTCAATTATATATTCATCAACTTTTATTAAAATATGTTAAAAATCTAATTATAATCCCCCCCACAAAGAGGGGCTATACATATTCAATAGAGCTAGTTGTACAAATATGATTGATAATCTTGGTTGACAATTATATGTTGTCAAAATTTGAACATTTGATGTAAAAAAAAATAAATTTAAAATGAATGAATACGATGTTGTCAAATAGATATTATCAACAGTACTTATACGTATAGCATTACTCAAATATATTTTGAGTCCATGGATCAGTGGATGTGAATGTATTTTGCAAGTTAATTTATTTGTTTAACAAATTTAAAATACATAGTTTTCCAACCGCTTCACTTTTTCTGATGAACCGGTCAATTCGACCCGGTTTTGAAAACGTGGAGTCCTGATCCGGGAATACTCTATTAATACGCAGCAGTCTTCATCTTCCCCTTGTCTTCTCATTTTTGCTGCAAATTTTTCCACTCACTCGCAGATACAGAGACCTTTCTTTAGGACCGCTCTCTTTGCACCCATGAGTTTGTATAGATAATCTTATGTAAATACAATCGCTCACAATTATTAGTCTTTTGAGGTGAAGCCGTTGTAAACACATTTTTTCTTCTTTCTCGGAGAAATGGCTGCGAGGGTTGCTATGAAATTCAAGAGAGAATGCTATATATCTAGGAAGCTTAAATCAAATAATATTACAAGGTATTATTTTTCCACTGCCGCTTCGAGTGCTAATTCTCTTAATATTCCCAAGACAGCTCCTCATTTTTCCAAAAAGGTAATCTTTTTACCCTTTATCCCTATTTTTAAGTACTTTAGGCAAAAATTATCTTTTTAGGCATAAAAAAGTTGGGTTTTCATAAAATTGGAGAAGGGCTCCTTTAGTTCATGTGTCTGTTATGGCTGGCGAGCAAGCACACTCTTGGGACTATAATTACATTAAGAATTGTTCCATTATTCTGGTATTCTTCTATAAATTTAGTTTTTTTTTTGCTAGACTTTAGACGATACTATACAAATTGAGTTACTCAATCTCACAATGCCAAAATATTGAATTTTTATGACTTCTATTGGATTGTGCTTCGGTTTTCAGTTGAGAACCAATTAGTTTCTTTGTTATGTTAAAGGGAAAAAGGAAATCTGAATAATAACTTGTTACACTTGCACTGCAGGGTATGTTACTCACGGGAGCCACCATGGGTCTGCTTATAGGTGGAGGTGCCTATGCCAGTACCGTGGATGAAGCTACTTTCTGGTATTCTGATTCAATTTCATGAAGGGCGTTTTTTCAACCTGTAGTCTAACATTAACCCAAAAGTGAATAAAGAGTTTGATTTGACTTGTTAATCATGTATCATATTGCATATTTTGTTTCAGAAGCTTCTCTGATGATTAAATCTGGTGTCTCTGTGGTTTTTTATTAAGAAAGCTCGAGGAATACTATTAAATAGGAAGAAAATTTGGAAGTTTTCGCCATGTGCATATTTTACCTTGGAAGGGGTTTATAATATTCCTTCCCCTCCCGTAAAACTGACTCTTTTAAGGCTATGCTCGGTAAGAGAATGGAGGCTTCATTTATGGAGGGTTATTATTTATTTATTTATTTATTTAAGTAAATTGAATGTGGAGAATGAGAGAAATCAATGAAAAGATGGTCATATTTGCTGCTGTGTAATCCCTTAAGAATTAAAACTTATCTGTCTGTTCCCTTCTAAGTCTCCGCTTGGAAGTGCTTTATTTTAGGAAACTGTCAAAACATTCATTAGTTATGTGAAATGCCTAAATCACATTGAAATTTCTAAAATTTGTTGAGTGTCTCGGAAAACTATTTTCGATAAATCTATTTGTATGCCAATGTAGACGGTAGAAACATTTCATTGTTTACATTGTTAATAAAATTAGAGTTGGGCACGATTTGAATTCTTATTTATTCATATTCTAGGTGCTTGGAATCAAAATGTTTTCAAGTTATATCACAGTTTAAATATTCTTTGTAACTATAAATTTGTGGGAATAACCTGTACAACACATATGATGATTGCGCAGTGGCTGGCTTTTCAATGCAACGAAACTAGTCAATCCATTTTTTTCATTTATGGATCCAGAGGTTGCCCACCGACTGGCTGTTTCTGCTGCAGCTCGTGGATGGGTCCCAATAGAGAAAAGGCCAGACCCATCAATATTGGAACTAGAAGTTTGGGGAAGGAGGTTCTCCAATCCTATTGGTCTTGCTGCTGGTTTTGACAAAAATGCTGAGGCTGTTGAGGGCTTACTTGGTTTAGGTTTTGGGTTTGTGGAGGTAGGATCGGTTACTCCGGCCCCACAGGAGGGGAATCCAAAGCCTCGTATATTCAGATTGCCTGAGGAAGGGTAAGAGTGCACAGCTTAACCTATTTTTACTGATTAAAGTTTAGTTTTTTTGTGTATTCTACGCTGTATGGCATGCAAAGCTTTGTTTTATTTTTCTAATGCAAATCTCATGTTTAAAACTCTTAATGCATGTTTGCTATGCTATTTTGGATAATGTTGGATACGATAAACAAGATTGTTTAAATTCTTTTTTCTTCCTTAGTCTGTATTGACCTCCTTACCCAATTAACCATTAGCATTAAACTGATTATATCTGTGGCAGTGCAATAATTAATAGATGTGGCTTCAATAGCGAAGGAATTGTTGTTGTTGCAAAGCGGTTGGGTGCACAACATGGTAAGAGGAAGTTAGAAACGTCAAGCACTACATCTTCTGCTGGCGATGAAGTTGTACATGGAGGGAAAGCTGGTCCTGGAATTTTGGGGGTTAATCTCGGAAAAAATAAGACCAGTGAAGATGCTACAGCGGATTATGTACAAGGAGTTCATACATTATCCCAATATGCTGATTACTTGGTACATGTCCAGTTTATTTGTTCCTTCGAAGTTTCATGTGCGTATTCTCTTAGATTCAGAAACTAATCTAAGTAGATATGTTTGTTTTGTTTTCGAATGAAATATCCATTTATAACTGCTGTGTAAGATGTACACTGAAATGATGAATGACAAATTTGTTACTTCATATTTGGACACATTTGTTGAACGGAGCCTCACCTTGTAGGTTATTAATATTTCATCTCCCAATACTCCTGGACTGCGCCAACTTCAGGGGAGAAAAAAATTGAAAGATCTTGTTAAGAAGGTTTTGACCTTACTCTTTGTCAATCTGATTAGTTAATGTATATTGGAGAATACAGTGCCTATCTACGTTGAGGATGTAGTTTTAACTTTATCTTTGCCAAGGTTCAAGCGGCTCGTGATGAAATGCAATGGGGTGAGGAAGGCCCACCTCCTTTGCTTGTGAAAATTGCTCCAGACTTGTCTAAACAAGATCTTGAAGATATTGCAGCAGTATGTACATATTTATTTTCTGAAATGAGTTTTCTCCTTCACGGCCCCCTTATTACTTGTTCTGTTCCTGTAGGTTGCTCTTGCTCTTCGAGTAGATGGATTGGTATGTCTTTTCTGACACATTATCGTCTCTTCAACCATTTTGCCATCTTCTGGTTATTGATTTAAAATAATATATCCATGATTCTATCTCTCGACTCCTTGTTGGCAACGTATATGGTATGATCCGGTGAATATGAAACAATTAAATTATTTTTTATGGAATAGACATATAAAGCAGTTTATGACCTAACGGTTGGTTTTTTCAACCCCAACCAAACTTCACACCGGAAAGGGAAAAAAAAAAGGGAAAGAGAAAGCCACTTACTCTCAAGTCCATAGTTTTGAGTGTGCACGATGACCGAGAATCTTGGCATGCTTAATCATTTTGTATTTTGATGCTTGTAGATCATATCAAACACAACAATTCAAAGACCAGATCCTGTTAGTAAAAATCCAGTTTCTGAGGAAACTGGAGGCTTGAGTGGGAAGCCACTGTTTGACTTATCCACAAATATACTGAAAGATATGTATATTCTGACAAAGGTATGCTATTTTCGCAACTCATGTATTTGTTTGAACAGATAGTTCCATGCTTAGTGCAAATCAATTTAATTTAACAAATAATGAAGAAATTATTCAATGTAGACAAATGAACCAGGAATAGCTTGAGATAAACACTCAAAACTTTCAATAAAATTTTGCAGTTTATGGGAACAATAGCAGAAGGTTACCAACATTTGCATGTAGCATATTTCTCGAATGTTGAGTGTTTTCGCATATCTAATTTTCATTTTACAATATATGTAATGATTTTATTTTTATTTTTATTTGATTTGGATATTTGTTTGGGTTTGTACATTCCATTGATGTCATTTTTGCATTCCTCAATAGGGAAAGATTCCTCTGATAGGTTGTGGAGGTATTAGCAGGTAGTAATACTTTACCATTTGCCATTGTAATTTCTACCATCTTTTCTTCATCATCGCTGAGCTTAAGTATTCTGTGTCAGTGGTGAGGATGCATACAAGAAAATACGAGCCGGGGCAATTCTTGTTCAGCTGTATACTTCTTTTGCATATGGCGGGCCTGCTCTTATACCTAAAATAAAGGTAGACGTTTAACTACTCGAGAAATTTGAGTCCTTGAACTATAGATAATGTTGAAGTATATCTAGACTTGGGAAAAATAGTTGTTCGGCAGTTTGAATGATGGCCGGACAAAAATGTATAGGGTAATTTCTAGGAAGAGACGAGTCAAATTGGTTAAGCGTGATGATGAACTTGATCAGTTGATCTTCATAATGGTCTGGCATTTGCATAGAATTGCACTCTGGTTTTATCTATCTACATATAATTGACCCGGTTTTCCTCTCTTTTTTAGACTGAACTCGCAGAATGCTTAGAGAAAGGTGGCTACAAGTCCATCTATGAGGCAGTCGGAGCAGATTGCAGACAGCCTTAATGTATTAATCCAATTTTTACCGACGCCCTCCTTCCAGACCCTGTTCTGTTGAATAAATTTTCTACTCAATTGAGGTTTTTTTTTCTCTTTTTTTTTTCCCGGAAAAAGTTTAGTTGGCAGTTTTTTTTACTCATTTATCAGTTGTAGGGATTTAACGTATGATCACGAGCGAAGATTTTGATAATTTCTGAGTGTCATATTGTATATCGAAGTACGGATAAGATTTTACCTTCAGAATGTGTTCGATGTAGAGTTTGGAGTTCTGCTATTGTCTTTTAAATGTATTTGGAGTAGCTCAAGTCGAGGATCATAAAATTAACATTATCATTAAGGCTATTTCAAAGTGTTCGAGAAAATAACTCGTGTAATAATGTATCTTCGATGCACATTTTGGAGAACACTAGCATGTCCTTTAAGTATTTGAAGTGTTACTGTATTTAGAACATAAAGAGCATGTTTGGTACAATTTAAAACACAATTAAAATTAATTTTTGGATCGTTATTTTATTATTCCAGCCGTCATTTTTGAACTCTTATTGTTATTTTACTATTCCAACCGTCATTTTTGAATTCTTCTTTTATAGGTAGGACACACTTTATCTCTAATGGTAAAAAAATCAATTAACAAAATCCCTATCAAATAAGCACATAGGATAAAATCACATGAAATTGAATGATTATTATATTTTTATAATAAAATATTTTGCAAGTAAATACAATTTTTTTTTTACGACACATTCTTCAAAAAATTATTATTTCAAAACTCATTTTTATCCAAATAAAAAAAAAAAGAAAAAGAAAAAAAGAAAAACCTCGTTAGAATTGTTGTCAAGCAAGGGCTTAATTTCTTGGAAAAAATTGCATATTTAATCCTCAACCTTCAAAATGTTGTATCCCAATCTTTAAATCGTCAACATTTGAAGGAATAGGCATTGTTCGTCCCTATTGATAGAATCCGTTCAATTTGACAGTTAATGTCATTTAGGTCCCATTTAGCATTGTTTTTGCTTTTGTTTTCTTTAGAAGAGTTTTTGGATGAAATTATCTTAATTTTTGTTTATAAATTAATTCTAAAATAACTTTCTATGCCAAAAATAATTTTATAGAGAAAATTATATTGGACCAAAATTTTCTAACTGGAAGAAGCTCTTTCATAATAATAGTCAAATGGGTTCAAAAATAATTTTTGAATTTCAAAAGTTATACCTAACGTATCCATAAAATGATAAATTGTCAAGAGAAAAGGGGAGGGAGGAAGAAAAGAAGGTAGCAAAACTAGGGTTAGATAAAACTCTCGAACCGACTTAACAGGACCGAGCTATTCTCCTTAAGCCCCTATTTGGTGGGGATTAAAATTAAATTTTTAGTAGATTTTAATAAAAACTTTTGAAATGTGCAATTGAAAAATTGTGAGTTCCATGAAAGGTGTGGTCAAAATAGATTGTTTAACATTAACTTAGATTGAAATCTGATTTAAATCAATACCAAACATGGTCTAAGTTAAATATTCGAATGAGTATCTGAATAGAGAATCAACGGATTTGGTTTGGTTCTTGGTTCTAATACAAGAACTGAATAAAAAATTAAATCTCTCTAATTTTTTTAATTAATTTATTTTATAAATAAGTCATATTATTATTTTTAAATAAATTTGTTTGCTAGTTAACTTAGTTCAAATCCAAAAATATGATTTTTCTATTTTTAATTTTTAATCCAAGCCAATTTAATCAAATTGATCTAAGTTTTACCCAAATATATTGTTCTACCATAGTACCATTTTCTACCATCTTGGAGAAATCGAATTGAAACTCAACAACGACTCTCTTAATTATTGTAAACTTTCTATCTTTCTCTCCTGTGATTTTAACAATCAAGTCTATGAACAACTCAGTAAAAAAAGACGCGAAAAACACATAAGATTGGATTATATTAATTTGTAAGAGTTAAGATTAAACATGTCATTAGTTAAATTAATGTAACTTTATAAATATTAAAAAATTTAATTATTATACGAAACCCAAGAACCGAATGGAATCGAATTGAACCAAATGAAACCGAACCTTAACGGTTTTATAATTAAATTTAGACTCGACGGTTCCACTCACTAAATACTCAAAAATTTCGGATCTGGTTCGGTTCTAAACCGAACTATATCTAGTCCTAAGTGGAAAAAAAAAAAAGTAAAAAGTAAAGGCAAATTACATTGGAAATCCAATATTTTCAGAAGAGCAAATAAATACCATTAAAAATAGATTAAAAAATTAAAAAGGAAATTGGCTCATCACTCCCACCCAACTCCACCCCTACAACCCCCCTCCCCCCACAACAAAAAAATAAAAAATAAAATAAAAAAATCTCCATAAATATAGAAAAAATTCATTTAAAGAATGATTCAAGATTTTGTCAACGGGGGAACATGCCAATTTGTCAAACATTCTTGGTGCCATTTTTAAAGGTTAGGGATACATCTTAAATGTTTTTTAAGATTAAGGACCAAATATGTTTTTTATTTTAATTTCTTTAATGTTTTATTGCCATAGTTTTGTGGAAATTAAAATTAAAATTTAATATAAGTTAAAGTCAACAATTAATTTTAATCACACACATTTTTTTTTTGTTTACACTTTGTTGATGGATGATGACGTGTCATGCATTTTCGCCTTTAATTTGGTAAATGAAATTCAAATTAAGGGCCAAAATACACATCACATCATCATTTGTCAAATTTTCTGTCAAATTAATTGTACACATAACATAACTGTTAATTTAATTCCCACCAAATAAAGGCATTATGTAAAATAAAAAGGATATTACAATGTCTATAATGTCGTGCATTGAACGTTTTTGTAATTCTTAATATCTAAACAATTTAGATAATTATAAATAATCACTTGAAAACTTGTTAATTTTCATTATTATTTAAATTGAAATTAACATCCAAATAATTTTCTAACTAGAAGGCTATTTGAACGATTTCCATCCAAAATTTTGTTAAATAAAGGTCAAAATTAGGTCAATGGTTTAACTAACGGAGTTTTGAATAGAAGTCATCCAGAGGTCTTCAGCTGCCAAAAGTGAAACGTTTGGGATATATTTGCACTAACTAAAAAGATTAGGACGCTAGGTGCAATTTTCCCCTTTTTATGAAGCAACCACGAACCGAACCCAACTGTATGACAAGAACCGGACGCCAGGATCCATTCAAATCCCAACGGCTAGTTTTCCAATTAACGTTAAGCCACGCCGCCAGAACACGCACTAACGGTCGAATTTCCTATTTTCAGCCCTAATCCCTCTTCCCAAATTCTCTATATAACCTTTTCTTCATAGTCCAAAAAACATCTATCAAAATTCAGAAATTTTCTGGCGACCAACCTAATATTTTCAGAGGATTTCTTGATTGGCTCATCAACACTACTGCCTCCATGGAAAGCCCGTCATCGACCAGAAGAGTCACTAGATCACAGACTTTGGATGCTAAAAACACTAATAATGGCAAGATATCCAGGACAAGTAATCTTGATTCAGAGCCAGCTTTTCTTGAATTGATTTTTGATGTGGCTTTCTGTGTTTTTGAGTTTTTTTTGCAGGCAAAATTGAGGAATCTGAGAAGTCTGTAACAAGAACAAGGCAGAGGAATAGTGCAAAGCAACAAGATCGATCTGCCCTTATCGATATTACAAATGATTCACCAATTGTTGGGCTTGCAATGGGGAATCTAGATACCCCATCATCAACAATGTCCAAAAAGAGAATCAAGAGTCATTCCAAGTATACTTTCACACCAGGCTCGGGTGAGGCGCTTTTGAGAGGTCAAGCCAAGACCCTTCTGCAGAAAGTTGAAGAGGAGGCAAATTTTCCGAAAATCTCCCTAGAAAAAAGGCCTTTGTTTAACCTCAAGTGCCTGGTAAACTCTCCCACGAATCTTCTTGCTCCAACTCCTACAAACACGCCCCAAATCTTAAATATCGCAGAGTTGAATTCTGCCACCCCATCTCCAGTTGAAGACAAGTTTGTGATTTCTCAGGTTTGTTTTATTTGATTTCTTGTTCTTTTGTTTACTCTTTTTGCCTTGTTATCAAACTTCATGGTTCATTTTGTGTGTGCACGCAGAATGGAATTGATGAGAAGAAAGAAGAGGGAAATGAAAGTGAGAAGGATCTGATTACAAGGGCACTGGATTTCTCAGAGAAATCAGAGGGGTTGGAGTGTTCCTCTGTGGTGACTTACCAGGGAGGTAGTAAAGATAAGCAGCTATGTACTGACGACGATGATGAAGATGATGCATCTTCTATATGGTCTATTCAGGTTAATGCCAGCAGCATTAGAGATGAAGATGAGGAAGAAGAATACGAGGACGAGTACAATTATGAAGGAGAAGAGGAAGAATGCGAGGAGTATGATTATGGAGGAGGAGGAGGAATGGTTGATGAGTTGTGCCAAGAAATGAGAAAGATAAGCGTGGATGGAGAGAAGACAATGGCAATATTTAGCAGTAAGCATACCAGGTTTGTGTACAACAGCGATGGTGAGCTTCAAGGGGAGGAAGAAGTATCGCCTAAGCCCTAAGCCTCTTAAGGAAAGCACCTCCACTTTCCTGAGAACTGCAAAAGTTTTTGTTGATGATTTTGATTACACATTTTGACAAATAAGAATGTGGTTCCACTTCCCACTTCTCAAATTTGAATCCATCATTTTAAAGTATTATTATAAGCTAAAGATTGTACAATTCAACGTAAAAATAGAGCACGTCATTTGAAGGTATGAAATTTTGCTGGCATGCACAAGCAAATTCATCTTTCGCATTTCAATCGACCAGGATATTCGAGTTTAGAGAAACAAGCTCCATGTTTCAATCGATGGATGGGATATTATTTGAAGAATAACTTGATTGAAAAATATTTGATCGATCTCTAAGTCCATGCAGCTGCAAAATTAACATTGTCGTCGAAGTTTGCTCTAAGAATCGTCAAATTGGTGTTTTTCAGGCTCAATTTCACGTTGCCCTTCTCTACCGACCAACCAATCCAAACGGCTCTAACCCACAACCAATTACCTCGGTTCACCCACAAAGGACAAGATAATAGTGATGAATTGTGATCACAAAGGCAAAAAGAAAACATCATTAAAGAGGCAAGGAAGACACCACAAAGTGAAAGGGAAGTCACTGGTTTTGGCAGGCAGCCGGATTTTCTTTCAATGACACTTTTTTCTTCCTCTCACACACACAAAACTGCACACAACGGCTAGGGCAAAAAGGGACCATATATAGACTAGGTTAGGTTTTTTTAGTCGGACCAATAATAAGGTTAAATGTGTCTCTCTAAGTAAATGACTATGCAGATGCAAAATTAACATTGTAGTCGAAGTTTGCTCTAAGGATCGTCAAATTGTTGTTTTTCAGGCTCAATTTCACGTTACCCTTCTCTACCGAACAACCAATCCAAACGGATCTAATCCACAACTAATATAGTTATCTCGGTTGCTTTTTCAATCTCACCCACAAAGGACAAGATAATAGTGACGAATTGTGACCACAAAGGCAAAACGAAAACACCACCAAAGAGTCAAGGAAGAGACCACAAAGTGAAAGGGAAGTCACTGGTTTTGGCACAACAAAGACAGCCGGATTTTGTCTTTCAATGACACTTTTTCTCCTCTCATACACACAAAACTGCACAAAATGGCTAGGGCAAAAAGGGACCATATATATAGACTAGGTTAGGTTTTTTAGTTGGACCAATTATAAGTTTAAATGGGCCAAGATACAAAGTTATCCAAGAGCTAATATAAATGGGCCGGGTTGAGCCGTCCGAGATTTATTGGGTATCAGAACCCAACAAACATCAATTATTTACAAAACTCAAGTAAATCTCTATCTCTATAATCCACCCAAAAAAGGGGTTGCTTGTTATTAAAGATTATAACCAAGGGTACCAGGTTGGATCCATCATGGAAAAGTTTTTGGGAGTGAGGTCGGCTTCAACCAATGGGGTACTTTTAAAATTAACCTAATCAAAGGTCCTTATTTCCACTTTGACTTTTAAAAACTTGAATATTATTACATTAACCTCTTGAATGGTAAAAGACAGAGATGCCCTTAATATATTATGTAATTATTAAATATTGGATAGTTTAAAAGACATTATTACCCTTTTAGTTAATAATCAAAAACCAAACACTTCCTCACTTATAAAATTGCAGAACGAGCTTCGAACACAAAAAACTCTCATTTTTCATTTGCTTGAACCTCAAAATATCAAAAAACTTCAAACGTCGAAGTCAGAATTTTTTTCAGATCAATTACTTCAAATCGGTAAGTATATTTTTACACATGCTTAATTTCGATTTGAGTAAATTAGCATATATTTGAGTAGTTAAATAACAAGTAGTTATTAGAAACTTTTTTTAACAGATTTATAATTTTTTCTTTAGAACCATAGAAAAATAAAAAGTCATATGCAAAATAAACAGTTCGGCAATTAACTGTAGGATGTTAACGAAAATTGTTAGACAGCAGACAGTCGACTGTCAAAAGACTGTCGGCTGTTTCCACATTAACAGCTGACTGTCGGCTGTAAAACACTCCACAGTCGACTGTTTTTCCCGACTGTTTTACAAATTTTTTTATTATTAATTTCTGTTTTGGTAATTGTCTTATAATTTTAATTACAAGTTGATTAAATATCTGAATTTTTGTTGTTGTAATTGATTAAAAAATTCTATAACATCATGCAGATTTGATAATCCCGGTCTGTTATTTCGGTGATTTTGAACTGAATAAAAATAATAGATGAGAATGAAGATGGACGAGTGATGTATGTGGTTGTATTGCAATTCTCGTAATAGAGAGTACATCATATGCGGAAGGGTACCAGGATTTGCAAAATAAGCTGAATGTTGATTCTTTTTAGTACGATATGCAACTGAGATATTTATTCAATAGTTACGAGGATTTGTCCATTCTGATGCCACCTATATTTGTTACTAATGATGTTGAATTGAATTATCTATTAGAATTGAATAAATGTATAGAACTCCGACTGTTTTTTGCGTGACTTTAGTTAAGAAGGATGTTGTCGAAGGTGAACGCGAAGATTCAAATGGAGCGGATAATAATGACCGAAATTTTTGGGAGACGGTGGAGATAGTTCATGCAGATGATGTGGTTATTCCTGAAACAGTTGCTACTGATCATGAAGTCACTGTTACGTACAGAATTCCGTCGACAGTTGAGGAAAACGAAAATATAAATGATTTTACAAATAAAAATTTAATTGCTTTATCTCGATATAGACTTGAGCGGGGTGGGAGCTCAGGGGTGGAACAAGTGGATCGTCCTCCAATTCTTCGCGTGTGGCTCCCGATGATGAGGATTTGTATGTCGAGCAACTACTTGAAACCAAGAAAGATTTGCAGGAAGCTGTGCACCTAATGATATTAAAATAAAACTTTGAATTCAAGGTAAAGAAATCAACCAAGTCATTATTGACAGTTGCCTGCGTTGACGACAATTGCAATTGGCGCTTGAGAGCGACTAAGATAGACACGAATGAGTGCTTTATAGTTCGAAATATGCACGGGAACATACTTGCGAAGTGAGAATTTGTCGAAATGATCACATGCAAGCTCGAGCATGGTTTATTGGTCGACGGATAATGCACAAGTATTAGGACTCACAGACGATCTACAGATCTTCGGACATCATTAATGACGTTCGTCGATAGTATGGAGTGGTCATGAGTTACCAGAAAACCTGGAAGGTCAAAGAATGTGCGCTGGAGGATTTAATGGGATCGACTGACGAGAGCTATGTTAAATTGGCAAGGTATTGCCATAACATGGGGACAACTAATCCTGGCACGACATTTTTTATTGAGATGGGGGCGATAATTGTTTTAAGTATTTCTTCATGGCTCTCGAACAATGTATTCAGGGCTTTCGAAATGCAATGCTACCCGTAATTCTAGTTGATGGTATAACTCTAAAAGCTAAATATCAAGGTAAATTAATTATTGCTACATGTCAAGATGCTAACATCCAAATTTACCCTATTGCATTCGGCATAGTCAACAATGAGAATGATCTGTCTATGCGTTGGTTCTTTTTTAAATTGAGGAAAGTGATTGGGGAAGTCGAAGACCTTGCCTTTGTAACCGATCGGGGACAGTCTATAATAAACGGTATTGCTGAAGTTTTTCTCGAGGCACATCATAGGTATTGCATGTACCATATATAAGGTAATTTGAAGACTAGGTATCTGGGCAAAGACAAATTTACGGGTCACCATTAAATTCGAACAAATCACAAGTTAGTTTCTTTCTCCAATTTTGTATCCACGATTAGTTGATTCCATCAATCTTATGTCCTATACTTAAAAATTCAACGTACTTAATGGCAAATATGCCACAGTCGTCGCTACAATTGAACAAGAATGGATCAATTCAGTACTGTGTAGCTAAAAACTAAATCTGAAAGATGAAAGCAACAAAGTTCAAACACTTACCTTATGGACTGTCGCGTTGTTGTCGTGTTCCGAACAATCTGCAATTTTTCCTGTACAGTCATCCTCGCTCGTCTGGCCATCATAGGAACAATTACAGCTACTAGGGGTGTAAACGAGTCGGGCCGAGCCGGCTCGCGAGCCTAAAATTTCGGCTCGGACTCGGCCCGGTTAAAATAGCCGAGCTTTTTTGCGGGCTCGAGCCGGGTCGAGCAAAAGCTCGGCCAAAAAAAATAGGCTCGACCCGAGCTTTTGCTCGGGCTTTTTACGGGCCGAACCGGGCGGCTCGTTTTCTCCAACTTTTTTTTTTTTTTTTTTAATATTAGTCTTCTAATCTGCTGCCTTAAAAGGCAGCAGATTTATTGCCTTTAACTGCTGCCTTTTAAAGGCAGCAGTTTTGCTGCCTTTTAAGGCTTCATTTGATAAATTTTTTTTTTTTAAATCTTGCGAGCTCACGGGCCGGCTCGGGCAAAGCCCGTGTACCCAAAATGGGGCTCGGCCCGAGCCTAGGCTCGGGTCTACCGAGCCGAGCCACGGGCGGCCCGATTCGGCGAGCCCGATTGCCATCCCTAACAGCTACAGACTCCAGGTTTTGCTCCAGCTGGCTTTGTGTCAAACATCGCTCGGGCTCGTCATTTGATGAGCCGAACAGCCCACGAGCCTAGCCGACGAGCCGCGAGCCGGTGAGCCCAATTGACATCCCTATACATATGTGTACAACCTTCCCATGATTCGCCCTCGACACTCCACGACATTCCTATGACCCACTCGAGAATATATTCTGGTACCGTATACTCGTTACCCATAAGTTGGAGCGACTGATACTCTATGGTAACGGCACACAGGAACTCGATGTTTAATATGATTTGACCATGGACGTCAAATGATTTTGGATGTCTTTGAACTCGATCTCGCAGCAAGTCATGGCCAGGTCGATTTGCTGCATCAAGAAAGTCCAAAAAAATATGAGTTATTCATTTAACAAACACAAAATGACGTATACATAAAAAACACGAAATGAATAGTTCACTTACATAGTTGGCGAGTCAAGCTCCCGAAGTGGTGATATCGTGGAACCACTTATAAGCGTCCGAGACTGTCCGGTTACCTATTGTGCAGCTAACTCTGAAAAAATAGGGAAATGTTAAAATAAGCATAGACGAGTTAGCGTACAGTGCTTTATTAAAATCATACAATACTTACCCGAGGATAATTCTCCTCCACTCCGTCTCGAACGCTTTCCACTTGGCGTTGTCCACCTCCCTGAATAAGTTCGGGTGCGTCCCATCGATGGACGTCCTCCTCTTGGTCTCAGCCATGAAGGGGAAAACAACATACTATGACGGTACTCTCAACCTCTTACCGACCACCTGCTCCGTCTCATCAACAGCATGTCTCTTACACTCAA